AGTGGACGGATTTTGTCGGAGAAATGGGAGATCCACAAGGAGTAATAGGCAAGAAGTCCCACAACACGTTGCCGCGACTTGACGTCACTGGGCAGAGGGAAGGATCTCAATGGTTGAAGCCGATCTGGGTCCGGCTGTACAACCTTATGGGAAACTTCGTAACCCAGAAATCGTATTTTATTCGAGCGAATAATGCTTTTGTTTTCGTTGAAGATTAGCTTTTACTTCTGAACCATTTCATAAAATTTCTTCAGATTACAATTGTGTTCATCCTCAGTAGTTCCGCACGCTGTTATGTTATCCATATAAGCGAAAGTTGCTTTCAGGTTTCCGTCAGTTATTATTTTATCTATAATTCTTTGGAAACAGCTTACGTCGTTTGTTACACCGAAAGGTATACGACAGAATTGAAACAGATTTCCACATACCTCAAATGCTATGAATTTTCAGTTTCATTGAAAGGTATTTGTTGCTATGCGCTTTTCAGGTCCAAGATGCTATGCACCGAGTAGCGTGAAATTTTGTCGATTAGAGCCTCGATTCTGGACAATGGGTATGCGTCCACGTGAGTATACTGGTTGATTGTCCGGCTATAATCTATGACCATGCGGCGTTTATGGCTGTCGTTCTTAGTTATTAAAACCTGAGCTCTCCATGACGATGTAGATGGTTAAATAGTCCACTCCTTAAGCAGCTTCTCCACTTCCAGTCGTATGAACTTCTCGTCTGTGGTTGAGTGACGTCTCGATTTCGTAGCGTTGGGTTTGAAAGTGGAAGAGTCATTCCCGAACTAGGATGGAGAGGCCACATCAGCTGGTAATAGAGTACACACAGAAAGGGGGGTTGTTCACCGAAAAATGAAATTTTATTAAATTCCTGGTTTGAGCAAATCGTGTCCCAGAAATACATCAGAACATAAGTTGGCGAGAACAGGGAGTTTAATGTTGGTGTAATGGTGGTTTTTAAACTGCGCAGTAACAACACAATGACCACTCGTGAAACTAGTTAAATGGGTACTGGTCATCGAAATTTTGCAATGTGATCCGTTTACTTTCCAGTTGAGTTGTTTAACAACTGAGTCACCAATGTAACTTTCAGAGCTCTCCGTATCAACTAGCGCTTTCAGAGGAATGTCGTTGATGAGCACATCGATGGCGGCGTGTGAGGGACTGTTTGATGAGGTTGCGACTATGACAGTATAGAAATAACTTTGAACTACTGAAGTAGTGTTCTTAGCAGTTGAACGGCAGACCTTCTGGTAGTGTCCTTTTCCCCGTAACCGTTACAAACAGGTTACGAGCAAGGCACTGAGACCAACTATGTCTCATAAACTCACAGAAAACATAGTTGTGCGATACAGCAGCGGTGACGTTCTTACCAGAGGGCGAGTCACAGGTTGTTTGCACTGGTTCTGGCTGGCGTGTGATAGGTGCATTATAGTTGTTTTCCGCTTTGTATGACAGTGAGTGATGATAGGCCACTTCTATGCATCGGGTCTGTTCAAAAGCATTATGGAGATCAAGCGACACCTTTTCCAAGAAGCGTTGACGTATCCTTTGGGACTGCAGCGCAGTCATAAAAGCATCAGGAATGGCGTCCTCGCGGTTCGTTTCTGCCAATACTGTGTTGAAATTGCAATCCTGAGCCAGTGACTTCCACTTCTGCCTGAAGTTGTCTAGGCTTTCGTCGCCTTGTTGTTTGCTAGTAGCAAGTAGGTGGCGTGCGATTTCATTTTTCGGTTTGATGTTTACATTCTTCGGTGTTTCCATGGCAAGTGCATAGCTCCCACACTCCTTAATATAATCATATACTTTAGGGGATACGTAATTAACGAGGATCCTCGATTTGTTAAACAACGAAGAGTCAGTAGTGTCCAACAAATACGTGAAAGTGTCAAACCAGTGTCCATTGCTTCGCAGCATTTGCATTGTTGGGATCGCCATCAAGGCCTTCAGGTCAGAGGATACGGTCCATTTCGTGCTGAATAACTTGTTATATGAATTGGCGGAGAACAAGCACGCCGAGTGAGAATAAGTATAGCCCGAATGAATAGGCTTTATTCATCAAGAAAGCGAACCGAGTAGGCTGAAAAAGAGTATAGAAAGGTTGTGATAAATAACGACAGAAAAGTGCTTGTGAGCTAAGCTTCATGTATGTAATTTATATGTTACAGAGCTATCCAACTTTCGATGAAAGTTAGTGCCACTGTCCCGGCTGTGACATCGCGCAGCCGCACGACATGTAGCCAACGTGTGAAACGATCGACACGTCAACACGTAGGTAAAACCGTTGGGTGGCGGTAGGGGTCCAACGATGTTGTTATAGACATGCTTGAATCGAGCGTCGGGCAGCGAAAAGGTACCGGGAACAGTAATCCTATGTAATAGTTTTTCACCCGCTGCTAGATATCAGAGCGCACGTTGGGTCAGATATAGCGACCAGTTATTAGCTTCGTAGTGGCGCGTATACTCGGGTGTGAAATTCCTTAAAAGTGATCAAATACAATTCATCGGTATTGCTTCGAGGCGAAAGGTCGAGCTTTGCCAGTGGACATATCATAGTAAATTTTGGAGTCCGAGTTGACAAAAGCAGAAGAGACAGTTTGATGGACGAATTCAGTTTGAGCTGCTGGAACTCGGGATCTTCTTGTTGATGAGCGGCGATGTCTTCAAGGTTAATTGGCTGACATGAAACTCGGTAGAGGTCAAAATGACTCATCGAGTCAGCGACGATGTTACTGGCTGCAGCAACATGTCGAGTATCAGTAGTGAACTGTGGGGTATACTCAAGATGACGAGTTTCACGCGGCGGGAAATGATCGGGGTCACCAGTTATGTAGTGGAAAACTATACAAAAAGGCTAATGAGAAGCTCAGTAAGCTATGAAAACAGTTATTCCGAAGTTCGGTTAATTCTAAATATCCGAAACTTGCCCTATGCCTTAATAAGATACGCAATCCGAGTCAGCGACGATTTCGCTTATCAGACATTTAGCAACCACATCGAACAGTCACGACGAACGCATGCGCAGTGAATCGAAGCGACAATGCGGAACGAAATTTTCTGAAGTATTTATCGGTTCAGACAATCAAAACAACTACAATAAATAGTGGAGGATGTGACACGAAAATACAATTGAAAAATGCAGAAGTGTACAAGTGCTACAGATCGCATTTTACCGGACGAATTTTTTCTGCATGCTCATCACGCATTGCATGAGGATCGCCCTTATACTTGAACTAGGTGTTCCATTTTATGTGAAGACAGCGATCTATTCCTCGCAGTCACAAACCTAAAGCACTCCAGAAGGCGTTCTTCCATCTGGCATCCTTCTTCACCTACGCGGTCTTGGTCTCAACTAGACCACATTGATACCAGTTTCGGATGGCGGGGTAGCATACAAGACTACCTCGCGTCAAAATCAGTATTAAACTACCGTTTTATCCACCGTTTTATCTACCGTTTTTATCCACCATTTGTTATATTCTACTCTCAATTTCAAAGTCAGCCAATGGCCGAAAGAACAAGTCACTTCTGACCTGCAGACAGGACGTCACCCGTTCAAGCCTGCATAGGGGACCGGGCGATGCTCGCGGTATCCTTAGCCCACGCACACAACTGGTGTTGGTTGTGTGGCAATGAAGTGTCGGTGCAGCATACGGGCAAAACGCGATATATTATTCCATTAATTCCAATACACGGATGACTTGAAACGGCGTATAGAACATGAAAACCAATCCCCTTTGTGATACCGCCTTTTAGACACACTTTTCACCCTCCATTACCCCAGTGACACATTTGTTTGTTCTCAGGCTACGGAATAGACCATAGTCATAATAGTTTGGCGATGTATTATCATCATTTGTACTTTTTACATTGGCTTGAACGTTCGTCGGGGTCACCAATATGTCGGGAGCCCACAGAACGATTCCTGTAGGCAGATCGTGTTGCAACGAAGCCTTTAGTTTGTACAGCGAAAGGTCCGCTGTTGATTCAGTTATTAAAAACGGCACCATTGATACTGCTAGCTAGGGGGAGGGGTGACAGGGCGCATCGCACAGAACGACTGCGAGTCAACCGAAACGGGCGCCAAACAAAGGCGGTGCTCGACTTAAGCAGTCAAACTCAACAACTAGTTCAACTATCCGCACCGGCTGCCTAAGTGCACGATGAAAAGTAATTTTAGGATTTTATGCTGGCAAGTCGGGGAATCTCCGAACTGCTATCCATGTCTGACTAAGATGATGGGTGCAATGCAGTGATTGTCGCCATTTCAGCTCGTTACGTGACACCGCCGAGAGATTAGTCATTACTACGGCATAAGGACATGAAGCGGTTAGATAAAACGTTTAATCGGGTTATAAATGAATAAATTTGTATATTTACGGACGGACGGTACACGGCCCCATAAGTGGGTTGACTTATAACGCATTCCTGAATTTAGCCGATGAGGTCATCCCATCATTGGATACCATCTCGAAATCAGTGTTGCTCTCATCTACACCTTTAGCTCTGTATCAACACACCTCCAAGCGTTCAGGCCTGATCCGTTTCTTCGGTTTCCCTAATCGCATTTGCACCACTTTCTTATCGATATTCGTCATCTTTATGGTGACATGCTTCATGATGGCTGTGTCCACATCACACACCAATTACTGATTCATCGAAGAGTCTCTGCACTGTCCTATCGAAGTTTGATCGTCTTTACTTCAGAATTCGACCTGTTTTACCCACCGTTGTTTTCGAGGACAGCAGTGAGCTGCTGGTGTTTCCTTGCTCTATATACACACCTGCCTCCTTGGCAGTAACCCATAAACGACCTTCCACCGTCTTGATTTCACTCCAACCTGCACGCTTGTATTTGAAATTGAATAACCCGAACTTCACCACCGTCTGCATCGTCATTATCACTTGCACTTTAGTAATTTTGTTCGCTCCATAGTGTTCTCACTTTTCCGCGCCGTTTCCGATTGCCGTTAACTCACAGTCTCCACGTTCGTCTTTTAGCCCTTTGAACATGTTCAGAGCATGCCTATTGGTTGGAGCTTTTTCTCATGCACGCGATCAAGTGACGTGCGCGATCCCCTATTGGTGGACAGACCATGTGGCGATGATGTGTCACGCACCACTAATCTCCACCTCAAGCCCACTCTAACCGTCCCATACGATCATCACAGTTGTGGTACTACTACCATCTCGTCACTTCCCTCGCTTCCGTCGATTCGATCTACCGCTGCTCCCTTTCGGCTTCTGCTGTCACGTGGACGCTCCAAAATGTCCTTCCGCGTTGCTCGACAACAGGATTTAACTGCTTTGTCTTTCTTTTCCAACAGAGTAAGGGTATTCGTTAATGTTGTACCTCCAACTTCAAATCGATCTATCTCATTACAATATTTGGTCCAGTATTGTTTGTGTTTCTGACTTCCTATCATAATTGAACCGTCTCATGCACCATTGCGCCTGCCTAATTGTTCAGTTTTACCTTTATCGGCGGTCATTTCTCTAAATAATCTCCGGTCGCATTTCATCTATGGATGTTTTGTAAACCATTTAGCCGGTGGTAAAGAGGTTCGTGATGTTCGGTTTTCTTTAGTTGTTTAACTAACATCCATACACAGAGCTACGGTGGCTTAAGTAACCATGGCTATCGTTACCGAAGCAAAAATAGTATTAACATTATTGCTATTAATAATGAGAGAAATCGACAAGAACTAACTTCGCCAGAACTAACGGAACAAGCGCAAGAGCGCCACTATTAACTCTGGGATTCTCTCTTATCCGCAAGTACATCTAACCATTTATGTGGCTATTCTCAGGTCATCTTCTCTCCAGAAAGACAACAGATATCAATTTGACTCGACCTGGTTCTTCATCAGAAAAAATCATATCATTAACTAACCACCGCAAGACGGCTTCACTTTTGCTCGGAGGCCGAAAGGGTTACGCGCTTGCGTTGTAATCATGAGATCACCGGCTCTTAACCTTAAGGATCACAGGCCTGTCTTGTAATCTGGGGGTGGGGGGAGGTTTTGAGCCTACGTAGACAACCGAGCGACTCTCGCAGTATCCTTAGCTCATGTGCGACTGGTGGTGGTTACGCAGCAGCGAAGCGCCGGTGCGCAGTACCGGTTTACTGCTGTTGTCCTTTCGAAGTTCTACTCAAGTAGACGCGGTAGCCGACTCGCGTATATGCACCACCGGCGACAATTCGAATTCAAATGACACGCTGATGAGGCATCCGTAGATTTGTTGCCAAACACTACATGACGAACTTCATTGTCGGTCCTGCGGTTTCTCCATTTAGTTATAATCCATGCCTTGCTCGTTTTGCTTGTGAAACGGGCTCAGTTTCCGGACTTCTTTAATACGCAACGATTAGGCCTTTTAACCATACAGCAACACTGGAAACGTTGTAGGCCTTTCCTTTTCATTTGCTTCCCACCGTCTTTCCAGTTGACGGAGTTACTGAAAAACCACGCGAGTTTTTGAAGTGCTCGTGATAATCTCCTCAGTGATTCAACCACCAAAGGTGTTATCCTACCTGAATATGTAAACCGACCGTCTGTTTCAAGCGACTGTTCCATTACTGAACGCTGGTTTGGTATCGATCCAGTCCGGTAGCAGCCCTTTACACTAAGAGTGCAAACTAGTCACGGGCGCACATTACCAAATGCCAGTCTATTTAACATCGCTTGCATAGCGGCTTGGTCCGATTCTAGAAGAGCTACCCTCAGCATGCTCTGGGTGCGGCCGCCGATCAGTTAACGGAACTGTCCTGGTAAGTGAGATATGCATGGTTATTTTCAATCGTATGGTTCTAGAGGGAGATAGAGATAAGTCAGCTATGGCGCACTCCACTTATCTCTCGAGTAAATCCATCCCACATATCATGAAGCCATTTCGCCATTGAGGTCGGTACTGGCCATCCCACGTCGGGGCATTAAATCTACGACCAATCACAACCGCTCAGGTTCATCGAAAATCATGTGGACAACCAATCAGAATGCTTTATGAGAACCAGGCCCCAATTGGACATAAGACCAACATTAGTGAGGAGAACCACCTGTTAATACGCAGTGCTGATGTCAACTCGCCTTGTGGTGAAATGTTTGCAAACTGATTTTCAAGGCAGGTGAGTGCACCAATACAGGGAAGAGTTTCCCGTAGACCCTCACTCGACCGGTGGCCGAGTGGTTTGTGCACCGGTTCAAATCCGTGTCGGGGTGGGCGTCCTCGCAGTATACTGCGCCCTCACGCGACTGGTGATGGTCGCGTTGCAGCGAAGCGCCGTTACGGCGTAGAGCTGGCGATTTTTTTTATTTACTTCACCACGGGGACCGTCAGACAGAGGTTTCGCAACAGCAACTTTCCTCACATGTTCGGAACGAGGGATTTCCATAAACGAGCACGGACGACGGATTCAAAGATAGACTTCAAGTCAATGCAAACCATTTCGACAAGCTGTTTGTATGTACGGTGACCTTTTCTAGCACGTGGTAAGGAGTAAAAATGTGATGAACGTACTTACTGCAAGCGCAGAAGTCAATCTAGGTTTCACTGATTTCTCCCTTTAGAGGATCACTGAGTCGCCTCTGCATGATGCATGTCAGTAGTTCGGAGACCGTTGCCATCGCAATGAGGTTGGACCTTACCGTGGTGCGATGGTTTGTGTACCTCAGCGAACCATTGAGCTATGCTGGATGGTGCTTTTTTTCCAAACTTCTAAGCCACTCATACCAGATTGGTCAATGGTTAGAGGCCAGACAAACTCAACTTTCTGGTCCTCCTTAAAACGGACACTTTGTAGCCCAACGCCAAATCCGCTGATTTGCGGTCAGGTTTTTGAACCAAAAGCTTTGGGTGAGAACCCTAATCGTTCTCCTGTCTAGGCCTGGGCAACCTGACAGTATCTTGCCCATGCAATACAATGAATTTCTCTTCGAACAGTTTCTTGATGCCCTGTCCATCGCAGAGGATAATCAACGGTGCCCTATCTGCTGCATCGAGCAGGGTGGGTAAGGGTTTGGATGCTACTGGTCAAGCCTTCCCATCTCCTTATACCCTCTCTTACGCTTTTTCTCTCTTACCGTCCCGTTCCAGCTTCACTTTTATCCCCTCTGTTTTCAACCCCCAATTCTTGGCTCTCCCCCACCTTCCTTTGCTAGGCTTTTACCTTCTAGTTTCAACTCACACGTGAACGCGGAGCGTCATTCCTGTCTTGTCGACAAGCCCATGTCCAACCAAACGGCCAAGCCCACTTCACCGACTTCCATTTGGAGCTCTCGAGCATCCTTTAGATCGGCATGCCTCAATGTACGCACATTGCTCCAAATTGGTCAAAAGGCAGCACTTGCCTGAACATTAGAGACCCTCTCGATCGATATCTGCTGCTTATCGGAGACCCGCCTGCAAGACTCGAGCTCTGTGCTCACTATACGATCCCCTTAAGGTGACGCAAGCAGTATTTTCTCATTGCGCCTATTCGGTGACGATGCAGCTTCGAGCACCGGCCAAGCCGGTGTTGGTACTGCCCTGAGTCCGCGGGCTGTAGCTGCTCTGGTTGACTGGATTCCAATCAGTAGCGGGTTGTGTGCGGTCCGATTAGCTGGCTCGTTCAAAGCTTCGAAGTCGCGCGGGACTAACAGGTGTCTATTCGTCATCGCTGCCTATGCACCCACAAACTCTAGCGATGATTCGGTAAAAGACGACTTCTATCGCCAATTGAACGAGCTCCTTCGCCACAGAAGCTCGGACACTGTTGTGCTGGCTGGGGATCTGAACGCTCAAGTTGGAAAATTATCCACTGATGAACTACATCTGGGCGGCCAACATGGTGTAGGCTCCCGTAATGATAACGGTGAGCGGTTACTTCATTTGTGTGAAGATGCTCGCTTATTTCTTGCGAGCACTAATTTCCGACACAGCACCCGCCGGAGGGCGACTTGACGCTCACCAGCCTCGAACCAGCTATGGACGCAAATCGATCACATCGCGATAAGTTACCGATGGAGAGGCTGTGTCCAGAACTGTCGCTCGATTTGGAGCAAATGTGTGGACACCGACCATGCACTTGTATGTGCTGATATGCGGATGCGTTTTGGCGAACGCCCAAGACGACGTTGTGAGCGCATTGACACCAGCCAACTGGCGAAACCAGCTGTTCTGAATGCCTATCAAAGTACGCTGTCATGCGAGTTGAGTAAGCGCTCACCGGATGCAGTTGAAACTCACTGGTCTCATATTCACCAGACCTTACTAGCAGCAGGCAAATCCTCATGTGGTAAGTCTAATCGCCAACATGGACATTGGGTCTCTTCGCAGTCTCTGGAACTTATCGATGCTCGCCGGCATATTCCGGCTGGAAGCGAACACAATGAAACTTGTAAAGAGCTCCGGGCAAAACTCCGTGCTAGCCTGAAGAGAGACCGCGAATCCTGGTGGTCTCATCGTGCGTCAGAGATGGAAATGGCCGCTGCCCTTGGTAACCATCGTAAGTTATTCCGTCTGATACGGGAAACGGGCAGCAGGAGACCTGGTGTTAGTGGAACTATACGTGACGAGAGTGGACAGCCTATCCACAACTTGTCAAAACGCTTGGAGCGTTGGGCTGAGCACTTTGAAAGGCAATTTAATCGGTCGGAATTGTTAGATTTCTCGCCGGCCACTGATCGCCCGGCTTCCTGGGTTGTCCCTTTGGATCCACCCTCTCGCTCAGAAGTCGAACGTGAGATCGCACTGTTGAAGTTAACTAAAGCCGCGGGACCAAATGATTTACCTCCAGCCCTCTTCAAATTCAGGGGACCTGCTCTTGTGGATGATTTATACGAGTTACTAGTGAAACTGTTGGAGCAGGAAACTGTCCCAACCGACTGGAGCCGCTCCGTCATAGTTCCAATTTTAAAGGGTGTCTAACGATCGGAATGCGGCAACCATAGAGGAATCAGTCTGATCTCCATCGCCTCCGAATTGCTTGCCTCTGTCATCCTTCACAGACTGACTGGCACTTGTGAAAGCCATATTCGTGAAGAGCAAGCCGGGTTTCGTTGAGGTCGTGGCTGCATTGACCACATCTTCCCTTTGCGTCAGTTGTTGGAGCACTCACACATATTGGCGACCCACCGTTGTCATGTTCCTCGATATCAAAGGTGCATTCGATTCTGTGGATAGACGTGCACTTTGGGACTGTCTACTCAGAAAAGGTGTACCTGAGAAATATGTAAATATTATCCGAGCATTATACGCGCGTAGCTCAGGCAGAGTGAGGGCTTACGGCAAGCTGTCGTCGCCCTTTAATATCTCCAGCGGTGTGAGACAAGGATGCCCGCTGTCACCTT